AAGAACATGTAGGTGGAGAGATGCTTAGTATATATAGATGGAGGTGAACCTGTTTTTTTCAAGGTGCAAAGCACCGAATAAAATTGTTACTCCCTAACTTCCCATTAAAAATAAAGTAATACTTAGTCATAAAATAAGTACACACCAGACCAACAAAGTTCTAATTTTTTCCTTAGACAAATTCTTCTGTGCTTTTCTGAAATATCAGGAATCCCAAATTTTCTCCAAAATAATTTTTGTGTGCATCTTTTTTTGGTCTGAAGCCCTAAACATATGCTTCATCTATTGAGCCAATTCAATATCACCAAAAAAACAAATCATGGCACCTGAAATACTCAAATAAAAATCCAAATAAAGCCCTAGCCATTGGGGCTCATTTGGTTGGAGCATTGCCCATGGACCAAAAGGTCGCAGGTTCGACTCCTGGTCAGGGCACATATCCAGGTTGCGGGTTCCATTGCTGGCTGGGATGCACGTGAGAAGGCGATCGATGTTTCTCTCTCACATTAATGTTTCCCTCTCTGTCTTTCTCTCAAAGTCAATGAAACAAAAAAATGTCCTAGGGCGAGGATTTTAAAAAATCCAAATAAAAATGAGCCACACTTAATGCAGATTTACTATATTTGATATTCTAAAATTCAAACTGGCAAGATAATCTTGTTAAATTTTCTAATGTGGCAGACCTGGGCTCATGAGATTTAGAGTCCATCCCAGTTAGAGCATTTATCAAACTCGACCCCGAGCAAGTCTAACCTCTCTAAGACTGTTTCTGCTTATTTAAAACAATTACAGTGGTAGAATTTGTGGGGATATAAGTAAAAGATAAAACAGTGTAAAATGACTGAGAACTACAAAAGATTATGTTAATATAAGGCGTGATGATTGATATAAGGTATGTTATTTTTGTCATTAACTCTTTCACATGTGCATATCTTATATCCTCCAAGGATATAATTTATGTAAGAGGTATACAAATAGTTGTTTTCCAATTGATTAATTCATCTCATTTGAAAACACATTTTAAATTGCAAGATTAACAGCTGGGATGTGAAAACAGGAGGAATTGTAAATGACCTCCCAGAATAATTAATACCCAAGTATAAATCCAGTTTATTTATTTCAGTAAAAACCAGCTGTTGAGTTATTTATGTTGAAACTTCCATGACAAACATGGTTTTCTTTTAGGTTCCAACTATGGGGGAAGAAGCATTAATCTTTTTTTTAAAGATTTTATTTATTTATTTTTAGAGAGGAAAGGGAGGGAGAAAGAGAGAGAGAGAGAAACATCGATTCTCTGTGTGCGGTTGCTGAGGGGCGTGTCCTGCAACCCAGGCATGTGCCCTGACTGGGAATCGAACCTGCAATGCTTTGGTTCACAGCCAGCGCTCAATCCACTGAGCTACGCCAGCCAGGGCAAAGCATTAATCTTTGATAAACCTAGGAGAAATGAAGAAACCCATTGTGTCCCTCCAGATACTTTCTAAGTCACCCTGACGGAGACTTGAAGCATGTCCATAAAAAGGGAATATGTTTTGCCCTGATCGGTGTTAGCTGGGTATCCTACCACAAAGTAAAAGGTTACTGGTTGGACTGTGGGTCAGGGCACACGCCTGGGTTGCAGGTTCGGTCCCTGGTCAGGGTGCATAGGAAAGGCAACTGATCAATGTTTCTCTCCCACATCAATGTTTCTCTCCCTCTCTTCCTTCTTCCCGCCCCCTCTCTCTAAAAATAAATAAATAAAATCTTTAAAAACCAAACCTAAAATATGTTTTAAGGTCACTTGAAGAAATAAAACACATCCTATCATACAGTGAGAAATCAGATAATGCGTTTTATTCCAATTAAAACAAGTTTTACCGAAGTTTAAATACCAGTCAAAATATTCGCTGTCTCAACAAGAATGGCATTTTCAAGACAGTGCTTCATAAAAAGATATTTAATAAAATTAATTTGCTGTTAAACAGCACATTTAAACAATAACTAGAATGCACCTTTATATATTTTGTTTTTTCTCACATCAACTTGCTGGCTCTTGAATTATTTTGTATCTAGACCCCACAAAACCACATTTCGTTTTTCAAGATTACCCTACAGAAGGGAAGAATTGTAATACGGTATCACATTCCATAGAGTTTCTGAGAAAGGGCTCTTGTGAACCGGCCGATGTTCAGTTCCCTGCATTCTGACCAGATGACATATAAATTTCTCCATGCAGATGACCAACTACATTTCTTTAAAAACGTCCCGATTCTGTAACTTAAAAGTTCATCACAAAATGGAGTTTTGCTGCTATAGGTCTCAAAGTACCTGATATATTAATCAACTGAAACACACTCTTAAATGGACAGTTTATTTTAGAAAGAGAGGAGGTTTTGAGACAGAATCTAGTCTACCCCAAATCAATCCATGTCTAGATCAGACTCACGGGGGTGCTGATGAAAAGAATGCACTGCCTCATCTGGTTACCCAGGTGACAACCTACATTTGCTATCAGGAAGTTCTATGTCTTGTATGTAAAATCTTCATCGTTCCTAATGGAGTTAAATCCTAGTGCCCATATTTGAAGTTCCAGAAAAATGGCAAGAAGCAATGCCCTATATTCAAACCCTCATCTCTTCTGAAGCCAGTAATTGTCATTTCTCAGTTTTTTCCATATGAAATTATCCTAGTCTCCTTATCCTTTCTTAAATTAGAGTTCAACATTGTAATCCTTTGAACATACGTCATTTTTCTGTGGCTCCTCCGAGAAGGCCACGTAATCATCTCAAGTTGTGGGGCCCAAATCTAGACCTGTATTCCCGTCATGGCCTGACCACACAGCTGAGGCATACGACCATCCGTCCCATGTCCAGGGCTTACAGTGGTTTGCCTCTGCTCAGACCGCACCAACCTCACCTACAAAACCATGTCCCAGTGAAAAGTCAACACAAAGGAAATAAAACAAAACATAGAACAGAGTCGACGATAACATGTCTTAATTCTTTAAAGCTTACTGTACTGGTGAATAGTGAAATTGTAATTTTTGGATGCAAGAAGTGATCACCAAAAAATTCAGGATGCAGTGTATTGAAATTTTGATATGACGTGGAAGCTCAGTAACTTTCCTTGCTGGACTTTAGGGAGCTGTTCTAGGTAGGTACATGGTAGCATGACTTTACAGAGTTGTGAATCTATACAATGTGATATGCCATAAGCATATTAAATGCATTCTTCCCATTAAGCCGCTGAAGAGTTTTCCCATATATAAACCAAATAAGACAGCTGTTCTCAGAGAAATTAAATTATAAACCTGATTCAAATATGCATAAATTTTTTAATTTAAGGGTGGCCATGGGTAAAATAAAATGAAAGATGAAAACCAAAAATACCGATATTTTATACTGTAAAAAATGTTTGCTCTGACAATGACAGTATTAGAGATGACATCGATGGATAAAACTAGTCCATAAGATGAATGTAATACTACTAACACACTTTTACCTGCAAGGGTTTTTCTGGCTTTCATTCAATGACATCCATTACCCTGGGTGGCAGTGGAGCCCTGTACCCTATTCATCTCAGGCATCTTCAGTCTCCTGAGCTGCCTTACAGCCTTGACATAATAAAAGGTCAGGTAGACCCCAGTAAGCATTTGTAAACTACAATATACCTCCTCCCCGTTTTGGGCTGCAAGCCACACATTCTTGTGCTGAGCTTTACTCCTTCATATTTCATTTCATTGTATAAGCAGGCTAATTTGGAAATGGGGTACTTAGGGAACACCTAGATTTTTCAAAACAACCCCACTTTCCTACTTGACCACCTAAAGAAGTAAATCCATAATGGAACATTTGAGAGAACTCTAAAATGGTGCCTGGGTACTGAAGGAATGAACAGCAAATAGCAGCACTATTAAATAAAATGAATGCATTTCACCACCCAGCTCGCCTGTGCTTTCTGGGACACAAGGCACAAACGTGAAAGGGTTGGGGTAGGATTTCAAGAAAGCTGATTTGTTTCAACCATCATTCGGTAAGATATTGTTCACAAAATAATACCACAAGCCACCTCCCTTTCCGATCATTGTCAAGTCAGGGCTCTCAAATCAACCCCCACAAACCTAATTAAAAATAAAGAAAAGAGGCAGGCTATAAATTCGCATCAAGGGCTATGATACGGGATAAATGATAGGCATCTGCCCTAATTGGTCACAACAAAACTAAGGGGCAATAACAAGAATAAATCTCACATTAATCCAAATGAAGCCAATGAATAACATTACAAACCAGGAGCATAGTTTCAAAAATAAATTACCTCCAAGCATGCAAGGACATTATAACCCATAAAAATGATTGCGAAGAACGTTCTGCATATAAATATGTTTCATAAATGCACTATAAATGCTAAGTAGCATGTGTATATATGATATGCATATCCATAGAGTGTACTTTTGTATATTCACAATCAAATCTGTGTACGAAAAATGAAACTGTATCCAGCAAATGGTTTCTCCACAAGAGTACATTAGAATATGGAAGAGAACGCTCAATTTCTAGGGCCGCCTTTCCTAAGCAATAAAGGAAATAAGCAAAACCACCTTATAATTAGGCAGGGAAGCTTATGAGGCACCGAAGGTGTTTTTGAGGAAGGCCCAGCCCTGTAAGTGGGAGCTGCAAATGAAATGATTCCTTTCAAAACACCCATTTCTTGTTGGCTCTTTCCACCCTCTGATTCTGTTGCTAAGCTTAGAAGGAAAGGAACCAAGTGGCTCACTCTGCATTCAAAGCCCGTTCAAGATAAAATCAGAACACCATTTTTTTTTTAAACAGGAGCCAGTGCCTTCTTACTTCTCTCTTCCTGGTAACCTTCCTCTAGGTTACCATCTCCATCCCCATCTCTGTCTCCGCGTCTTCCTCTCCTACTCTGAGAGGGTCATTGTTCACGTGCAGGCCACAAATGTATACACCGGTCATTTAATAGCAAGCTGAACCAAGAAGATAGCTCCACTGTCTCCTACTTACCTTGCTGAGACCGGGAAAAGCTGTTGAAAGGAGGGAGAGATGCAAACTGAATCCATTTTCCTTGTGACCGAGTCGGATGCAGCCTCCGAACCCAACATCAGCAGCGGCTGCTGGGATTTTTTTCCCTCCGTCTCTGGCTGGCGACGGTGCGAATAGGAACCACCCTTCCAGCCCCACTAGAGTAGCAGCAGTCGAGGCGGCAGCAGCACCAGCATCACCACTTGGCCTCCTCCCTCTCGGAGGATGGGGTGAGCTCAGAAGCAGCCAGGAACTTGCAGCAGACACCTCCTCTGGCTCCTCCTCTCCTGCCCCCTCCCCCACAGCCCCACCCCTGCTGCAGTTGAAGCTGCCTGCCCCAGCAGCTGCTGGTTGTCATGGTAATGACCAATGGGGAGCGACCAGACTACGGGGGAGGGGAGATGTTTGGACTGAGCTGGAGGGGAGTGAATTTGAGCGGCTCCGCTCTGGGATGCTGGTGGTCTCTCCTACTTTGGACTCTGGGTCTTTAAAAGTGGGGCAAGGTTGTATAGGCACGGGAAGAGAATAATTTAAATTGAAACAAAATCTGAACTGTAACCTACGAAACAGCTCGGCTATCTTTGCACTGCCTATGGTTTTCCAATAAAATGTGCAATCAGAAAAAAGTAACAAATATGGAGAAAATTATGTCGTGTAACAGGAGAGTATTATCACTCTATAAAGGACAAAAATGTTTGTCCTTTATAGCATCTTTTACCCAATGCCACTTAAGGTTGTTAAAAAGCAAAATGAGTGGCTGGACTTTGCAATAAAACAAGAGCCCGATTCCTTGGCACTACTCTCCCTTGCTGTTTTCAGGTGAGTCACTGGGTCTTACTGTTTTTCCAGCTCCCCCTGTGAAAAAGACCCAGAATTAATTGTCACTACCCTGTGCAAAAGGAAGCTGAATCAGAGGAGACAGAAATTCCTTGAGCATGCAGGGTTCTCGGCAGCACAAGTTGGTGGATAGTTCCAAACATTTTTAGTGTCAAACTCCTGGAGTATTCGTTTCCTGTGGTAAATTCCATGCCACTTTTCATGAATGCTGTTTTGGAGGTCCCGAAACAGCTGGGAGCCAGGGCAGCAGGTGGAAAAAAAAGGAAGTGAAATCAGCAGGGTTGACTTCTAGGTGAGTTCTACTTGTGACTAAATTATACATGACACTAGTATTTATCTCACGCAGTAGTTGTAAAGATCAACTGAGACAGTGCACTAAAAGCCTTTGCCATGTAGTAAATGCACAATAAGTGATTACTATTATTAGTAGTAGTGCATTGTATCCACATCTTAATCCAAGAAATTAAAGGAATAGCATGGCAATTGCCGATTCAAGAAAAATTAAGGTGAGAAAACACTTAAAACATGTTATCTGTGATAACGATGATTACAGTGAGGATGCCAGACACAGGGAAGCCTCTGAGAGATTAAAAGGTCTCTAAAGTGTGCCAATGGCAGACAGTCTGGGTCCTAAAGGAGTTTGATACATTGCCCGAATTCACACAGCTAATGAATGGCAGAGCCAGACTTAAAACTCTGACTCTTCTCACACTGACATCTGCTCTTGTTTAACCATTACATTTTTCTGCCCTTCTGCCAGGGAACAGAGATACTCTTTGTTCTTAACCCATAGGGTTATTGATGGGTTCAGACGGGATTAGCACAAGTTTCAGAGCCACACAGCTGGGCTAGACACGGTTTGGGCCATGTTAATTAACTCCCCTGAACATACGTGTCTTCACCTGTGAAATGGAACTCATCCTAGAACCTCATGGAGTCATCACAAGAACTAAATAGGATGATGTATAGACAGCATCAACCCAGCTAGTACGTAGTACGAGTTCAATAAATGTTAACTGTAAGTATTTGTTACTCATTCTTACGCAATAAATATTAGCACCTGAGAGACTTTTTCCTGTACAGAAAAAGGCCTTGATGCCTTATCTGTTGAATCAGAACAAGGGCCTTATTGTGACAAAACTGACTCAAAGGCATTTCTGTTGCGGAACGAGTTGCAACTTGCCTTCAGCACTTGGCATGGCCTCTGGGTCCTCTCTAATGGAAAGGCTGCACGTTGCCCCAGTGGCTAATGGCCCCTGCCTCTCACCTGACCCCAAACAATCCCACAGCCCGTGCTCACTTCCTCTTCAGCACCACTGTCTGGGATTTTCGCTGTAGGCATCTGTTCCACAAGCATTTCTGCGCAATTTTGTCGTAAGAGGTACTGTAAACTGATTGACGGTTTGGGTTGTTTGGAGGGAGAGGGGTCATTTCTCCAGTGACAAGTCAACCTCTGTAAAAGAGATAAAATAACTGGTTGACAGTTGTCGGGGGCGGGGGTATTGTTTTTGGTTTTGGTGGGGTTTTTTTGTTGGGAAGAATTTTTCACAGTTACTCCCATTTTTATATTATACGTAAATCTTAGCTAGTCCTCAAAATGGTCTACTCAGTTACTAATAGACATGGTGCTGGTGGCCTTAACACAGCATTTCTTCGAGATGGTGAGAATTTTCCCCAAGAGTTTGAGACGCTACGTTGAGGGCAGAGTCGAACCTACATCTCCCATAGAACGAAGATAGACACTTAGATACAAACAACAAAATAAGGTCAGTCATTTACGTAGTGTTGCCATGAAGCTACAGACATTTTATAAGTATTCAACTATTTTGTGTTTCTCAATCAAGTCTTTTGAATTTTGTTATTCATGTTTTCATGTTGCATTTTGTCCTTTTTCATGTCCCTCCTTTATTTGTCGTTCTTTCATCTTTTTACAGCAAGATCGCCTTACTGCCAATTAATGAGTGGAAAGTGCTTCCTGCAAAGAAGCCTTGGGCAGAAGTTCTTATATGAGGAGCATCACGTAAGTGAAGTTCTGTAACATGAAGGAATGAATTGTGATGATCTCGAGTCTCTTAGTATTTTTCTCTGCATTTCATCCCCTGCTGTCTTCACAGAGAGAGTGTTGGAAGGAAGCGGAGAAGAGAGCTGCAGATTGTAGAAGCACACGTGTTTGTTTGGGTGACGGGATGGCCTTGTGAGGGCATCGCACCAGCGCCCAGGGCTGACTTGGTTGGGGCAAGTGATTCTGGTTTTCTCTTCCTGTCAACACAGACAGAATGAGCTGGGGGAGAGAAAAGTGTTCCGTGGGCCCTGTTTGAACAACTCCACAATTTAAACATTTAAATACTACCCTCTCGTTCTTTGCCTTATCTGTGCAGCGTGGTTATTATTATTTAATAATGCTTGATGATTATTTAATTATTTTAGATATTTAATTATGTAGAAGTTATTTTTATTTAATAACTTGTTACTTATTTACAATGAAATTTGTTTCTGGCTTTAGCAGAACAGTAATGAAAATAGGCATGGTAGAGAGGATGTCTTTGGAGAAAGGAACTTAAAGCAAAACCATACTTTTTTTTTTTTAAGTAAAACAGACTTCAACTGTATTTGTAATCATTTTTATTGAACAAATTAAACTTTGCATTTTATTTTTCTCTTCATTGCCATACCCTCTCTTACCATGCTTTATTTTTCCATAGTATTTGTCATCTAATATACTGTATTTTTTATTTGTACTTAAAATTTTTTTATCTGTCTCTCCCACTGGAATTTAAGCTATGAAAGGGTGGGGATGTAAACATTTTTTTCAACGACCGTTGACATACAATGTTATATTAGTTTCAGGTGTATAACACAGTGATTAGACATTTATATAACATAATGGAGTGATAACTTTGATAAATCCCATTTGATGCCATACATAGTTATTACAATATTATTGATTATATTCCCTAGGATGTACTTTATTTCCAAGTGACTATTTTTATAACTGGAAATTTGTACATCACAATCCCTTCCCCTCTATTACCCATCCCCCATCTCCCAACCCCCTACCATTTGGCAACCATCAATTTGTTCTCTGTATCTATGAGTTTGTTTCTGTTTTTGTTTGTTCATTTACTTTGTTTTTTTTTTTTTGGATTCCGCATGTAAGTGAAATCATACAGTATTTGTCTTTTTCTGTCTGACTTATTGCTCTAAGCATAATACCCTCTAGGTTTATCCATTTTGTCATAAATGGCAAGATCTCATCTTTTTCATGGCTAACAGTCCATTGTACGTATGTGCCACATGTTCTTTATCCATTCACCTACTGATGGGCACTTGGGTGTTACCGTATCTTGACTATTCTAAATAATGCTGCAGTAAACAAAAGTGTACATGTGTTTTTTTCCAACTGGTGCTTTGAATGTCTTTGAATAAATACCCAAAAGTACTGCTGGGTTATATGCTAGTTTTATTTTTAATGTTTTGAGGACCCTCCATACTGTTTTCCATAATGGCAGCACCAATTCACCATCCACCCAACAGCACATGAGGGTTCCCTTTCTCCACATCCTCACCAACATGTTGTAGATTTATTGATGGTAGCCATTCTGACAGGAGTGAGGTGATACCTCACTGTGACTTGGCTTTGCATTTCTCTGATGGTTAGTGATGTTGGGCATCTTTTCATATGTCTATTGGCCATCTGTATGTCCTCTTTGATGAAACGTCTATTCAGGTCCTCTGAAGGTGGGGGTCAGGGTTTGTTTGTTTACTTGTGAATGATGCCATCCCATATTAAGTGTTCAATAAATACTTCTTGAATGAATAAACCAGTAAATAAATATAACATCAACAAATTCTGCATTGAATCATGGTTATATACGTTATTATAATATTTTTCTAGTTGTATATTTAAAAGTATTGAATAATAATTATTTTAGTTGTATACATGCATATTAGCATAATATCTATCTAATCTATATCTTAAATATACATATCTATTAAAATGGAAATGTTTGTACATGCATATTCAAAGTCATCTAGCATAGTGCCAGTAGTATGCATGGGTTCTTTGGGAAACATTGATTTTGTACTGAGTACTGAGTGTCTTCCCCAGTAGTACTAACAGTGACCAGACTGTCTGCCTCTCCTGGGACCTTCCAAACTTTGACTTCTGCATTCTATATGAGATGTGTAAAAGAGTGCAGGGTGTGGGTCTTGGCTGCAAAAGTGGCATTAAATTTTCAGGAGAAACCACAGCAGAATGGGAGGAAGCTGCAAAGTGGGGGCTATGGAGACAGACTGCTTGGATTGAGTCCATGCTTCACCGTTTGTTTTCTGAGTGACCTTGGGTAAGCTGCTAAGTTTCTC